TCATCCGGGGTGGACTGAAGTTTCAACCTCGAATCGGTCTTATCAACACCCTCAGCGGGATTCGAACCGTGATAGTGCAGAATAGGAGCTTGACACTCGACCACATTGCCACGAGTGCAATTGAGAAAGAGGGCAAATGTGAATTTCAAGGAAGGCCAAGCCTTTTGCTATATCATATTCTTTGGTGGGATTATCGATGAAGCAAACGTATATTTGCTATAACAGTTGACTTTCCTTGAAATTCACATTTGCTTTCTTTCCCAAGTGCACTCGTGGCAATGTGGCCGAGTGGTTAACGTGTCAAGCCCCCATTCCGCACTGTCACGGTTCGACTCCCGCTGGGGGTGTTGATAAGATCGATGCGACGTCGAAACTGCAGTTCACCCTGGATGAGAACAACTTTTGGGAAAGCAAGGCTATGTGAAATTTAATGGAAACATCAGCTCTACTCATATCATTGTGGGAAAATTCTTCCACTAGTCCTTCATCACCTAAACGAAATTGGATGAATACATTTCATATTACTTTATACTTCATCATAATGGGTAGGTCAGGTAAATATAAAGAGGGCACTTGATTTAAATGACTCGTTAGTTTGAATATGGTTGTAAAAATGATACACTCTTTCAACGGAATCGAGAGAGATTGCCTCAGAGATAGCGTCGACAAGAATGTTCCTAAAAAGCCAGTTGAAAGATGGCCAATCAGAATACGCCGTCATCTTCTGATGAGATCGGCCTTCAAATTTATTGAACACAGGCTTCACTCGAAATGGAAGTGAGTATAAGAGATATAAACCAAAAGATTACACGAATTCCTAATTCTCTTCGCACAATAAAAATAAAATCGAACGCTTTGTCGAGTCTCTTATAGGAAGCCAAGATGCCGGCTGTGAAATAATACTAAAGAAAGATTATCGAGAGCTTTTATCACAAGTGTCTTAAAAGTATATTGGCAATGCTAACGAATAAGTGCAAGGTTGGAAATATTAAGACAATGAGCAAAGGATGGACTCTATTCAGCTTAACAAAATCCATTAGACTAAATTATAGAAGGCCATATGATAAGAGTCCTTAGAATAAACCAAGGTGCTAACAATGTATTTTGTCTAGAGATAGGCTAAATTAGCATATTAGCAGGAAGACCTAGAGGAACACACCTTGTCCGGAGTTCTGACCGTAAACTTTGTATACTTCCAGACGATTTGTCGGCATCATCAGTTAGTCTTGCCATTCTCAGCAAACCAAGCTACAACTCGTCAAAGAGACAAGTGACATCAATCCTCTGGCCAACTTTACGTCAAGACGGTTATGCTATCAGTCCTTATTTTGTCCTGGTCCCTCTATCCATTTCATACCCTCTAGTCTCGCCCTCGTCCTTTCACAACTTCTGACATGTTATTATTCCACAAGAGATGTGCAATTTGGGCGAATTTACCGTGGCGTCATCATACCTGCTCTTTGCCTTGCTCCCCTCCCTTTCGAGTGGCTGATACTGCTCCCGTTTCATGCCCAGATCTGCCTCATGGGCCAGTCGGTCGTTTCTTCTCTGTCTGGCTGACCGATTTCACTCGGTTCCAGCCCCATCATACTTTTACTCTAAGTCCCATTTCTAAAGCCTTCAGGGGTACGTACAAAGTCGCTTTATCTTCGAAGTTCCTGAACTCTGCTTCGCATGCTTGTGGATATTAGGCATTAACTTCATGCATCCTCTCCTTCATTAAACCCGTGTACGCTGAGCAAACTGCGGACATCTATCTCTGATCACCTGCTGTGTCTCAACTGGATTATTAGCCCATTTTGTCACAATGACCGAATTTTGTGACCCAATCCCTCTCCCTAGTCACGTGAAACGTCGTGCTCTTAGGTTATAGTTGTTTATTCGAGCTGACTACTCTCACTGAAAACGTCTTCACTTCACTTCCGAAATCTCCCCATCTTCTTCTTACTTGCAATCCATTTTCTGTTGGTTTACAATTGATCCTTGATCCAGGCGTCTCCTTTTGCTTACATTGTTGCATCTATGATTTCTCCG